GGACTGGCCTAGGGGATTTTATAGGGGTTTTAATTACTTTTAAATTTGACATTCTCAAATATTTCATTTTAATTAAATTTTAACTAGGTGTAATATGTTAGCTTTTTATCATTTGTCAGCCGCCCTGAGTCCGAAAGGAGAAGGGCGGGATATAAATACAATTAATAAATAAAATAAATAAATAAATAAATAACCTTTATTGTCATTTTTTACTGTGGGCACAACAACACACATCAAAAATGAAATTTAGTTGCTGCTCTCAAAGTGAACACGTACATGACACACACCTAAACATACTATATACAATAAATACATTGTATTTAGAAACACGAAGCTGAAGACACCAGCCTGAAGATGACGAATGTGACTTCGTCGAAACGTCGCCAAGGTACTTTTAATTCTACGCGGGAGAAAACCCGAATAACTAAAGACCTACATACAAATACCCGCGAAAACCTCAGAAAACCAATAAATACATACTATATACAACATATGCATACTATATACAACATATACATACTATATACAACATATGTATAGACTTACATCCCTACATATACATAACATGAATATTAAACACTGTCCATCTTGAATATATAATTGACAAATTAAACTGCTGCTTCATGTCTGCCCTTTTGTAGAGTAGTGGTGAAGTCAACTGTTTAACAAAATTTATACTGTGTCTCTTTTATATTTGAAAACATAGCATTCATACTTTACATTTTTTTTTGCACATGCAAAAGAATAGTTTACAGGAATTTTGTGCGTGTATGTTTTTAGACCAGACAAGATATGAGGGTACTATGTTACATTCATCCAGTTGTTTCCTTTTAAAACAAAATGTGGGATTATTGTTTGAAACAGGAACAGTGGGGAAGTAGAGACTTCCTTACATTGTTCAGTTATATAGTAGCTGCTTAATAAAAGGATTTTCCCCACCTCCTTCGAGTAGGAAGGCAGCTCACATGGAAACCTTTTGTGAAAAATGGATTAAGCCACCTGTTTCTTTCTACAACCCTAAAACTTGACAATTTCTCATAAAGCAAGTGAAATATTTTGATGCATTTAATAACATAATGTACAACAGCTTTAGAAACATAAAATGCTACATCAATTTTCTGCTCCTCTCCTCCTCAGTGAGGGGACATACTTATAGTTTCAAGGGATTTTATTGGAGTATAGAGATTAGTCATGATCAGAGATATCTCCACGGGCCTTTCCCCACACTCTCAGCAATGTATACCACTTTTAAGAAACCATTGCTCTATTTATGGAACAGACTACTTTATCTTTTTCAGTGGCATCATAGCTATGTTTACATTTTTCCTCAGCTTGATGCTAAACCATTGAGTTTCACTCATTGGGTCTAAGTGTTCAGCCAGCTTTAGCATTGTCCAGTGCACAGTTTACTTCTTCTCTAGTAGACTCTTATGGGTTACTTACCATTTTAAATGCTTTACTCAAGTCAAGATACATTATGTCCACTGCTAGTCAACTAAATGGGTCAATCTACCAAAAATGAGATCCTGCCAACAATGCATTCTTTTCTAAATAATCACAAAGTGGCTACTTAATAATTCATTACATAATTTTGCCGAATATTGGAATATCAAAGTAGGTTAACCTGTAATTATCCAGATCCACTCTTCTCTGAAAATAAAAGCAATATTTGTCCCTCTTAAATTCTTTGCAACAATGCCCATCTACTACAATTTCTCAAAATTCACAGAAAGAGCTCCAATATGATATTGTAAACTCCTTTTCTCAGATATAATTCATCTGGTCCTAGAGACTTGTTCATGAAAACCAGGTGCTCCCTAGCAATTGTTTAACTTGGGGTTCTTGCTCCTTATTTTGTCAACTGTTTTGCTTACATCCATTTGATATCCATCTCCCTTTTAGGAGAAAACCAAAACAAGATCTGCTCTCTCTCTCTCTTCATGTATATTATTATCATATTATCTTTTCCAAACATACAGTGCATTCAGAAAGTATTCAGACCCCCTTCACTTGTGTCAATTTTGTTATGCTGCAGCCTGATTCTAGTTGCTGAAATTCATTTTTTCTCATTAATTTACGTTCAGTATCCCATAACAACAAAGTGAAAACAGAATTTTAGAAATGTCTGTAAATTTATGAAAAGGAAAAACTGAAATATCACATTGGCATAAGTATTCAGACCCTTCACTCAGTACTTTGTTGAAGCACCTATGGCAGCAATTACAGCCTCGAGTCCTTTTGGGTATGTCACAGCAAGCTTTGCACACCTGGATTGGGGGATTTTCTGCCATTCTTCCTTGCAAATCCTCTCAAGCTCAGTCAGGTTGGATGGTGACCATTGGTGGATAGCCATTTTCAGGTCCCTCCAGAGATGTTCAATAGGGTTCAAGTCAGGGCTCTGGCTGGGCCACTGGACGTTCACAGAACTGTCCCTAAGCCACTCCTGTGTCATCTTGGCTGTGTGCTTAGAATCATTGTCATGTTGGAAAGTGAACTTTTGGCCCAGTCTGAGGTCCTGAGCACTGTGGAACAGGTTTTCATTGAGGATATCCCTGTACTTTGCTCCATTCAGCTTTCCCTCAACCCTGCTGTCCCTGCTGCTGAAAAACATCCCCCCAGCATGATGCTGCTATCACCATGCTTCACTGTTGGGATGGTATTGGGCAGGTGATGAGTGGTGCCTAGTTTCCTTCAGACGTAACATTTAGAATTGAGGCCAAACAGTTCAATCTTGGTTTCATCAGACCAGAGAAACTATGTTTCTCATCTTCTGTACACTTTTCTCCCAGGAAGGACAGCAGTTGGCAAAGCAAAAGCCCCAGTATGCAGATATTGTGTTCCAGAAGCTAGAGGCACTTCATCAAAGTTGGGATATGCTGCAAGCAACCACAGAGGAAAAGGCACAGCTCCTGTTTGATGCTAACCGCTCCGACCTTTACGCACAGAGCTATGCTGACCTTAGTGCATGGATCAGTGAGATAGAGGAGCAGTTAAAATCTGATGTCCAAGGGAAAGATCTCACAAGTGTTAACATTCTTCTAAAGAACTTGAAAGTAAGTAACAATCCTCCTAAAGTTAATGTCTGTGTTTATTGCTGGAAACCCCTTATGGACTATTTGCATAAAACAGAAAAAAAATGAACTGAAAGCAACATTTGCAGTCTGTTGTTCAAGTATTGTCTAGATGAGAACAGCAATGATATCTGTGTAATATCTGAGTGATGGAGTTAAGCATGTAGATCTCAACAAGACCACAAAGTGTGAAGATTTCTCATTTCAGCNAAGGCACGGACTGAAATCATTTTTAAATGTGGTATAAGGCACACATATGACATCAGTATTTTTTAACTGCCTATATTGTGTTCTTATTTTCATATATATATATTTTGTAACCTCTGGTTTAGGAATATACACTAGCTCACACTGAGCCACCAGACACCTTAGAAGCATCGGAAGCTGTTATACGGAAATTTGAAGATTTTCTCACTAATATGGCAGCTAATGAAGAAAAGGTAACTGGCTTGATAGAAACCGGGAGCAAGCTTGCTGCTGACGGGAACATTTACTCTGACAAAATTATGGAAAAAGTTCAGCTGATTCAAGAAAGGTAATGTCCGTCTGAGAGTTCAGCGAATTCAGACCTCTCGTTTGCAAGTGCAAAACTTGAATCTGAAATGGCAAGTCACTATTGTGGAGGAAATAGGAAAGCGTTTTTCTTTAACAGTAACATTTTTGTCATTTCTAGACACAGGGCTAATGTCACAAAATCACAAGAGGCGTTTGTGTTACTGAAGGACAATAATGACCTGCAGAATTTCCTACAAAATTGCCAAGAGGTAAGAATTTTGAACTAGCTACTCCTGCTAATCTAGGATGAGTCTGTGCTTATCCTGTTTTTCCCCCAAGAGGGGATGATGCCAGTGATAGATTTTATTGCTTGGGGGTAGAAGTATAGGGAGTGATTGTGGGGGTTGGGGAGAGTAAGGACTTCAGCTAAAATGCCATGGAGGTAATTCCTCTGCCAATTACCCATTGAGGGTTGGTGTGAGTTGGCATGACTGGTAAAATGGCAGACACAGCAGTGCAGGGGGGAGGAGTTTAGGGCTGGGGATAGAAGCCCACCTCATGGGGAGTCAGGCGGGACAATCAATTCAAGTGGTGATGGGTAGGGGTAGAAATGGGAGCAAGAGGGTAGACAATCACAGGGAAAGACACCCGCAATAATTAATACCAGCGGTGTGTTCTGGCCCTCCTAGCTCATGCCCAGACCCTGGGTAACAGACCCTGAGAAGCCCAGATTTTCGACTGCTGCAGATGAATGCCAGGTTGGTCAACAACACGGCCACACTCATTTGTGACCTTATTGGCGAAAAACAAGCTGACTTGGCATGCATTACTAAGACCTGGCTGACACCAGAGAAGGGTTTTCTCTTCTCAGAGATATGTCCAGCTGGATTTAGGATTTGGCACCAACCAAGGTCTCATGGCAGATGAGGGGATGTTAGCAGTTGCCATTCAGGAATCTCTTTTGGAGTACAGGGGTTATGCTCCCCAAATTTCCCGATGTGACATTGTTCCTGAAGTTGGGCTGGCGGGATCAGTTGGGAGTGTTGCTGCTGCCATCGCTGACACTCCCCATGGCTCACAGAGGAGTTGAGGGTATTGAAAAGAGCCAAGAGACTGCTAGAGCGCCACTGGAGGAAAACAAGGAATGAATCTGACCGATCATAAGTCAGAGCTGCTATTAAGGCCTACCTCATGGAGGTATGAGCAGCGAAATGTCACTACTGTATTTCTCCACACTTCCTGCATCCATAGAGTGCTGCCATTTACAGGGCCATGTGGAGGAATTTGTCAAGCACCTGATCGCTCAAATTCGTTCTAAGTTGGAATCCAGGCATGGAGCAGGTTCATTGGAGATGCCCGGGGAGTGGATTCACCCAGTTATGTGGGCGTAGTTTGGACCTAAGGAAATGGACAGGATCCTTGGGGCTGTTAGTGCAACAATTTGTTTATTAGATCCTTGCCCTTCCTGGTTAGTGAAAGCTTCCAGGACTTGCAGATGGGTCTAGGCCGGGGTGTGTGTGTCAAACTTGCAACGTCACGTGACGTGTTGCGATGTATCGTGACTTTTTTTGCCATTGCTGGCAATGGAGTGGGCGCGGTTTCGCTATGATGCATCCGGCCCGCGGGCCGGCAGTTTGACACTCCTGGTCTAGGCAGTAATTAATCGCTGCAGGAAGGAAATTTCCAGGACCATTTAAGTTAGCCTTGGTCGATCCCTTCCTCAAGAAACCTTCACTGGATCCCACCTGCCTGGACGATTTCCATCCAATTTTTCCCCTTCCCTTTTAAGAGAAGGTGGTGGGAAAAGTTGTTGTGCTGCAGCTTCAGAAGGTCCTAGATAAAATGGATTATCTGGACCGCTTTCAGCTGGGTTTCAGGCTCAGTTATGGGCAGAAACGGCATTGGTCACACTTGTAGATCATCTCTGGTGGGAGCAAGATAGGGGTAGTGCATCCATTCTTGCCCTTCTTGACCTCTCAGCAGCTTTTGATACCATCGACCCTGGTATCATTTTGGGCTCATATGAAACCCAGAAATTATCTGGAGAAAGGGAAGTAAATAAGTAGATTAGCTAGGTCATGGATTTCCCTTTCTAGCAAAACCTGCCATTGGCAAATATTTTTTTTTTTTAAAAAAGCAGGAATAGCAACAAGTTGGAAAGGACACTACTGTAAGGGAGCATCTGGGAATATCTGTGAAAGACCATAGGTTTCTATTTTCAGCAAAATGCTACAGGAGTCTGAAGCATATCCACTTTTCATGCTTTATAAACATAATGCTATTTTATTGATAGCTTACCATGTGGATTGAAGAAAAGTTGCTTACTGCTCAAGATACATCATATGATGAAGCACGGAATTTGCACAGCAAATGGCTGAAGCATCAGGCTTTTATGGCAGAACTTGCTTCCAATCAAGGATGGCTAGAAAAGCTGGATGAGGTATGTTGCTTTTATTCCCCCAGATTTGCATGGTCTTCCTTCATACTCCCATTTCTTAAAATTTTTGTGGCACCTCATGTTTATAGAGTTTTTGAGAAAGGATTGGAGATCAGTATCTTTTTTGTTTATTATTTTTTATTGTAACCGTGTATGTATTTTACTGTTTTTGAAAACTGCTCCAAAGTGCAAATACTGATGTTATGTTAATTTGTTAATTTAATTTGTATACCGCCCTTCTCCCATAGGACTCAGGGCGGTTCACAGCATATTAAAAAACAAATACTATACACAAAATACAAAAATACAGAAATACAAAAATATAAACCCCAATAAAAGCCGAATTAAAAACCAAATATTGCCAGCTGTGTTTCCGATTAAAATTACTTTTAAAATCATCCCTACCTAAA